GAAACCCGCAGCCAGCTACCCTATGCTGGCTGGGGGATTCTGGGAGTTGAAGTCAACAGGACTTAAAGTCACCAAGGTTGAGAAACACTGCCCTAAAATGATAAAATAGGAAGTTAAGAAGAAAAAGAAGTTGTACATAGCAACATAGCAAAAATCAGATCTAAAAAAAAAAAGAGACCTTGCCAGTTTCTGGAACAAATCCAAGACTTGAAATTTCAACAGTCACTGGATTAGTACAACTGGGTATCTCCATCTCAAGTTGCCCATTAAATCTTCAACCAAAGATTTGCATCACCAGATTGACAAGCACAGGTACAGGCTACTGATCTGAAAGCCATGAAATCACCTTCTACCCATTTTTAGCCCACCAAGAAGGCAATCTCCGTTTTCCCTGTTCTATTATTAGCTACTGATGCCTCTGTGCAGCTCAGTTTAACTGCTGTACTTCACTTTGATGGTAGGAAAACATTTCCATCCCAATTTGTTATTGGGTAGGTGGCAGGGTAGCCTCTTCTCCTCTTCTCCTCTGATCATTGCTTTCCTTAGAGGTTTTTTTTTTAAAGTTTCCAATGGAAAAGTTGTATTTTGTAACTGAACTGGGTAGACAGCGAAACAGTGGGAGTACCGTTTTGTTTTGTTTTGTTATTATTTCATTGATGAAAAGGACAATGTTTGCCTGATTTCATTTAACCTGATAAAAATAATAAAGGCTGCCCTTTTAATCGTAGCAAATCTAGTCATCAAAATCTAAAATCAATACTTCATTTTTTTATCTTTCTCTGGCAAGAAGTCCAAATGTGCTCTTCAAGTAGAAATGAAGCCACATAGGCTTTTATTCTTCCATCAAACTAGTCAATTTTGTCATCCTTGCCAGTTTGTTAATTTAACAATTCACTCTTCAGTTATGGAAATTAGTTGGCACCTTTGTCATATAGAGAAACAAAATCCCATGTTTTCTTTCAATCTGCTTATCCATGGTACTTGAAAACAACTTCTAGTTTTAATTTAACATCCATTTTTGAATTTTAAAAAATGTATCTGAACCCAATACTTCTTGGCAGTTCTTACATGCCCACCAAAGATAATAATAGTTACCTACCTTCACATTGATTAAATTTTCAGTCCTTATTTGATATTCCCTTGTACATCTTTGACAAGTTCTCAGGGGTTAAATAGCCGTGATACCTCATTAAAAACTTTCTTTCCTTCCTTTTTAACCGATACCAAGGGCAAAAGATGGGGTGAAGGGAAATAGCAATAGCAATAGCAATAGCAATAGTAGTAGACTTATATACCGCTTCATAGGGCTTTCAGGCCTCTCTAAGCGGTTTACAGAGAGTCAGCANGAGCCGGTGAGATTTGAACAGCCGAACTGCAGAACTGCAGTCAGCTGAAGTAGCCTGCAGTGCTGCATTTAACCACTGCGCCACCTTGGCTCAAAGATGTTGCAGAAGCAAAAAATGGGTAGAGATGCTGAAAGTCCCTGGTTTATGCCCACTCTGGCCTTTGATCTTGACCTTGTATTCTGATTGGTTGTCAGACTCCCACGGGGCTATGCAGGGGCAACTCTGTAGTTTCTCAGGCTTGCTTGACTTGCTAGGTGATGATGTAATCTTCCCAGGTGCCATGTGGTGAGATGGGTAAAGGGCTAATATTATCATGTCCTGAGGCCCATGCCTTAACCCCAACACCCTGAAGCTGAAGGGGGGAGATCTTAGTTATGTAGAATAGACTGGCTCACACCTTAGTGGCTCATTGACAAAGGTGGGAAGGATGAGTTTCTTCCTCCCTTTTAGAGGGAAATATTCTGCAAATATTTCCTAAAATATTTCATTTTCTAGGCAGGAGGTGGGTGGTAACTTTCTACACCTTCCTCCAACCTTTCTGTGATCTTTGGATTTATCTGTGCCTGCTTCATAGATGCAGACCGAATCAAGGTTGATTCAGCCTTCCATTCTTCCAAGGTTGGTAAGATGATGACAAGGAGCGTTGGGGGGCAATATTCTTTAAAGAGGGCTGTAAAAGCACTGTGAAGTGTTCTGTAAGTTAAGGGCTATTGCTAGTACTAACTGTTATTTTGGAGAAGTTGAAAGAGGACTTCCATGGGTCAAAAAGGCATTCAACCCATGAAGAACTAATCTTTTGGGGATTGGAGAATTTACAGAGTCTTTGAGATCAATAGCTTCCATGGATCAATTGCCTGTTTACTATAGATAGACATGGCCAGTCACAAAGCACTTTTTTTTTGGTCAGGTCACAAAAACTAGGCATCACAATTCACACATCTTTTTCTACTGCTCCATGAGCTGCGCTTCAGGTGGGCTTCTGGGTACAATTCAATGCGCTGGTTGTCACCTATAAAGCCCTTCATGGCCCTTCATTGCATGTGATCAAGTTATTCCAGGGATGCCTCTCCAGGTAAAGGTAAAGGTTCCCATCTTACATACACTATATTGCCAAAAGTATTCGCTCACCCATCCAAATAATCAGAATCGGATATGACAGATATGGCAGCAGAAGAATAAGAAGAGGAGGAGGAGTTTTCCCTAGGCATAAGCATTAGCAGCTACAAGAGTTCATTACTCAAACAAACAACAACATTACTAGCTCTTCATAGAAAAATATTTTTTGACCTGTCATGTAACCAGCCTGAAAAAAAAGAAATTGAAAAATATCAGAGAGACCCCCACCTTAATGAACTCAGTAGTAAGAGAAGGCTTGAGGGTTCTTAATCTCAGTTCCCAGAATTTGGCACGCTAATCCCTAATTTGTGGCATTAAAACTCATTTAAGTCCATGTGAATCGTGCTTCCTTGATTTTGCTCTTTAGTCAACTGGCCTTGACATTCAGCCATTATGTATAGCAATAGCAGTTAGACTTATATACCGCTTCATAGGGCTTTCAGCCCTCTCTAAGCGGTTTACAGAGTCAGCATATCTCCCCCACAGTCTG